ATATATTTAATAATTTATTATATATTTTATAATTTTTGATAAAAAACATAATATATGTACAATATAATAGTCAGTGTCGTTCGCACGCAGTAATAAATCTTACTGTGTTTATCGATTATTTTGTTGTTCTTAGAATTGATTAACATTTTAATGTTACATTTTTCCATCTGTTATCTCGGAAAATTACTAGCTAAAAGACAAAAATGATTCACTGTGCCTGATACTGACTGGCCAACATTATCAGAAGCCAGTTCTTGAATTATTTTTATATAATGTTTGCGATATGGTGAAAAGAATTGTAAAATTAGTTTTTATTCGAGTAGTGCCGATCTCTGTTCTAGATGTACCAGTTATCGACACAGAAATGATCCAGTGATTGATCCTTTCTTTGCTTGCGTATCTATTTATTAACTCGACTATGACGATTACTGGTCTGTAGAACGTCTAGATAATAAGAATTATGGATTTTATTTTTTTATTTAAATTTTGAATACATTATTATGCGATTTACTAGAATTTTTTTCGGCCCATCTTGTCCCAGTAATCGACAGATATGACGATTACTCAAACGACTACGTGCTTCGGTGAATCAATGTTTGTCACGTAAAAAAAAAACTGTGAAATTTGTATGAAACAATAATTTGTGATGGTGTGACCTAAACTGCGATCTCGATTTATAACTCGAAGCTCAATTTATCTCATGCAAGTTGCCAATACTCCAAAATCACACGAGATGCCAAAGAGTGTTACTTAATAATCAAGCATATGATCGAAATTACACATAGGCTCGATTGCCGCACATATTCGATTTAATCAATAGTGAATTCAAAGTCTACATCTTCTCTAAAAATTTTTTATATAAGTGAATTCTGAAATATTTTGATTCTATAATTTTTAAAAAGTATTTTCAAATTTTTTAACATTTTACCAGAAATTATACTTACAAAAAATCTTATAAATCTTAAGCTAGCACGTGGAGCGGAAATTTACAGTGAACAGCGCAACCAATCACAACTCTGTAGTCATTATTCTACTTTCTTTTCTGCGATTGTGATTGGTTTCGCTGTTCCTTTCCGCTATAAATTTCCGCTCATAAAACACCAGCTTTACGATATTTCAATTAACATATATGAAAAATTCTGAGAAAAGATGTAAATTTTCTGAAAAGTATTCCAATTTGCATGAAAAATGTAAGAAAATTATATAGAAATTTGGAAAAATTATAAACAAATTCTGAAAAATTATATAAAAAATTTTAATAAAAATTTTTACCAAGACATTATGTAATATTATTATATAAAATAAAAATATAATGAAAATGAAACATTTTTTATGATTTCAATAAATAATAATTATATTATATGTACAAAATCATTTATTAATCTTTGAGACAATTTAAATTAAAGTTAGTATATCGATTTTAACAGTAAACGTTGAACGATAAATTTTTTAGAAATCTTTATATTTATCTATTGTAGGTTTGTACATATAATGCATAGACATTTACATGTATTGAAAGAGGGAAAGTAGCAGCAAACAAAGATGACAATGTCATAAGAAATTATTTATATATTTATTTCAATCTATACTCTCAAACGTATTATACAAAAATGTATAGTGTGCTGGGTCCGACTATACATTAATGACCTTTTATGCTTTCTTTCGTTCTTCTCGAATCTTTAGGATACATTTTTCTAATTGTTATTCGTTATAAGTTATGACAATACTAAAACAAAGGCACACAAGCATATCGTCTGGAATTCACTAGATATTCTTTGAACATCTGCATTAACCTCAGGTATGTATTTAATATATTGTTATGCGCGTATGTATATATTTATGAGTTAAATCTTTTCTGAAAAATACTGTTCTAAATTATGTTTTTAACACCGAAATTGACTAGAGCGATCTTGCGTATATAAGATTGTCAATTAGATTATGAATTAGAAATAATCATTAATAATTATTATAAAACTCACATTTATTTTATGTATTTTGAAATGTAGAAGTTGAATTTATATGGATCATTAAAAGAAAGATATTGGACGAATATAAAAACACTAGGGAATCATCTTACAATTAGAAGGCTGACCAGCACTGCAAAATTGGCAAAATTTGAAGGCTGATTACAAGAATTATATAGATGTATGTCACTCTAATTTATTAAAAATGGATAAATCAAATAGTGAAAAAATCAATGAAATCACACGAAGGGATGATTATCCATTTTTACGCAAATTAGTAACAATGTTGAAAAATAATTCTGAACAACCGCCTGTTTTGCTTGAGATACAGTTTTTAAAGGAATTTTCCCTGATTGACGATGTTCCCTTAACGCCATGCCAACCAAGAATGATTATTGAAAGCATGATGAAGATTCATGCAGAATATACGACAGCAATTTTAAATAGGTTTTTGGTCATATTGACGGTTTTTTGGTCATATTGTTTTTCTTTTAGGTAGAGGCGTTAAAAAACATGAGGGTCACTTCCATTTCTTTAAATAGAATTAAACACTTTTTTTTACACAATACCATTACCCTTACCAACCCCTTACTATTCTATATATACAAGTATGAAGACAGACATATCAAAAAACCAATAGTTTACGAAGTATTTTATTTTATTCTAGCACATATTGATATAAAATGTTAAATAATTCGGAAACTATAAATTTTTATGTACTCATACTTTAATATTTTTATGTACAAAATAATGAGATGAATCAATTAGTGTAAAAAAACGCATAATTGCTTATTTAAAAAATTATCCTTTTTGCATACATATATTTTTTAAAGCAACTATGTTTTTTTTTACACCAATTGATTCATTTCATTATTTTGCGCATAAAAGTATTAATATACGATTATAAAAAAATTAATAGTTTAGGAGAAATTGAACTATGTCTACATATGTCAAAATATAGCATATAATATCTTGTAAATTATTAGTTTTTTGTATGTTTATCTTAATACTTTTATATGAATAGTTAGAGGAATCATATTATGTAAAAAAATCATATTCCGTTTAAAAAGTGGCCTTCATGTCTTTTTGATGCCTCCATTTAGAAAAAAAAAACAACATAATTAATATATGTTTTCCTCGAAACCACGAAACAAACTTTTTCCATATTGTCAAAAAATTGTTGTTCAAAACTTCTTTCTATTGTTAAATGGAAGCGAGTTGTTCAGATGGCCTGCTTTAGATGTATTTTATTAAATAAAGTTTTAAATATTTTTTATTTTAAAAATATTGTATATTAAATATAAAACCAGAAAATGTATAAATAATTTGTTGTATGGATAATACTTCTCTTCTAAAGTTGAGAGTCTTTTGAAGCTAAAACATTTTTTGATAACACTACCCAACAAAAAATAGTTTATTAAATTGTCGAATTAACATTAAAATGATGATATCACTGATTTGACATCTAATTGACAGTCAATTTTTGCTGGATAATTATTACAGATTTACTTAAATGTAATTTTTAAAAGGATATACCATATATATTTTTGCATCATAAGCATTTTCCGCACATCATTTTATAATTTAGTCTAATTTAAAGATACAAGATAAAATAAAAATAAACATTTTTTTATGATAGTACTATTTATAGAAATATTTAGTGCCAATATTTTCTTATGATTTTATTTTGTTAGTATATTTTAGTATATTTTTTGAAAATATTAGTATATTTTTTGAAAAAATGTAATTTTTAAGAATTTATTAAAAGAATTTTGGTATAAAAATGTCTAAAAATTTATTATACAGTTTTAAACATTTATTTTACAAGAGATTTATATTGCAAACTATTATATAAAATAATTATTTAAAAAAGTTATTAAAATATAATTTGATTACATATTTTATTTTTTGTATGTACGTCAACATTCTTCCTTAAATATAAGGTCTGACTTTAAATGCGAATATAAGACGTGAAGCACTATCATTTGTGAGAAAAATACATAAATAGTTAAAAAAAAGTCTCTAAATTAAAATGTTTCCAAGTGTAACTCTTAAATAATTCTATCTTTAGTGTTTTACATTCGCTACTGCTCGCGTTACGGTTTTACAATCTGTAGTATGACTGGGCGAATCACTTACTACTCAAGTCTTACATTTTAAGTTTTTCTATATATTATAACCTTTATAATAACACAATTTCTAATTATTGTAAATATCAGATTTCTGCCCTACGAATGCTTTTCATGGAAAGTTAGAAGCTTAAATTAAGTTCGGTTAATTTTAATTATTTTCAAGTGTAATCCGTCTTTCGGTGATAATAACGCTGTTTTAGGATTGTTTACGTACGGTATTGGAGTTTTCTCGCAAGTCTCGAATTTGTAATTCCGTAATGCCTTTATAAGCCCAATTTTAGTCTGGTAAACACCGAAGCGTGCACCTGAAAATAAAAAGTGATCATAATATAGCTCAGTGATATAAAATAGCTCAAAATTCTCAAATAAAAATATTTTTAGTATAAAAAGAAATAGAAAGTGATATTTAAATTTATTTAACTTTACCAATACAATTTCTTGGCCCGTCTCCGAAAGGTAGATAAGTCATCGGATGTCTACTTTGCACAGCATCATCACAAAATCTTTCTGGATCAAAGACATCTGGTTTTGGATAAATATCTGAATCTCGCTGAATCGCGTAGATAGGAATCCATACTTTTTGGTTTTTCGGTATACTAACTTTGGTACCATCAAAAGTATAACTCGACATAGATTGTCTCAGAAGAAATGTCACTGGCGGATATTTTCGTAAGGTTTCTGTATGCATTAAGAATAATGTTACATTATAAAAATATATTTAAAAAAACTATAATTAAATTGAAGCAGGTTATTACAAATGAGATAAAAATATTAT